CAGCAGGAGAGACGGAGGCTAAGAGGCTTTGCCAGCCCGCTCTCCTGCAAGGAGCATCGTGATGGCGCTCAGAGATACCCGAGCCAATCAACTGGACAAGTTCATCGAAGACAACCTCCTGCCAGACAGCCCTTTCCGCACCCAGGTCAGAGAAGCCGTCGACATCATCTGCTCTTTCCTGAAGGAGAGGTGCTTCCGAGGGGCCGCACACCCTGTGCGGGTGTCCAAAGTGGTGAAGGTGAGCCCGGGACTGCCCGGCCGGGGACAAGGTGGCTGAACCAGTAGGCATTTCCATAGAGACAGACAGAGAGAGCAAAAGGTTGAGTTCTCCGGGGCTGAGGTTTCTGATTTATCTGGGCCAGAGATGTAACCACAGCTCGTGAAGACAGCTCCTGGGGGGAGGTCCTCCACCTGTAAGTGTTTACCAACTGCCCAGGTGAAGCTCGTCAACCACCTATGTCCCGTCCATTTCCGACATAGGAAACCCGAAGCCCGGCTCTGCCAACCATCTGCTGATCAATGGCCAGGCTGGGGACTCACCATTTCTGCAGAGTCCCGAGCTGTTGAAAGTTTTGGAAGCAGATAGCACCTACTGGCTGTGAAAACTCGAGCAACTCACTTAACCTCTCTGTGCCTCAGTTTCCTCAGCCACAATTCCCAGTAGCTTACAGGGCTTGCAGACTAAGTAAACTATAGCTTGTCACCCACCCAGCATGGGCCAGTCTATAGTATTAATAATATGGGATCAAAAGGACAGGGGGTACAGAACACAGACCCTCGAAAAAGGCAACCAGTTTGCGAATTGCATCTCTGCCACCCACTAGCTGTGTGGTTGGGCTGACACACAATCTCTCTCCGCATCTGTTTTCCCACCTGTAAAATGGGAACAAAGAGTAATAGTAGGTAAATCACAGAGTCCCTGTGAGCATTCTAGGAGTTAAGACTGGTAGTGCCCTCAGAACAGTGGCTAGCACTCAAAACTGTTAGTGATTGTTCTCAGCATTTTACATAGGGAGGCTCTTCTCGGTAATAAATGTTAGTCCTCATTCTCATCACCTGTTTTAGGGAGGCTCCTCAGGCAAAGGCACCACCCTCAGAGGCCGGTCAGATGCTGACCTCGTTGTCTTCCTCACCAATCTCAAAAGCTTTGAGGAGCAGCTTCTGCACCGAGGAGAATTCATCCTGGAAATTAGGAGACAGCTGGAAGCCTGTCACAGAGAGAAACGATTTAAAGTGAAATTTGAGATCCACAATTCGCAATGGGCGAATCCCCGAGCTCTCAGCTTTGTGCTAACATCCCCCCAGCTGGACCAGTGGGTGGAGTTCGATGTACTGCCC